AAATTAAGAGCCAGTTACAATAATAAAGGGGACTGGTTTGATTACCAAAGTGAAAAATAAACAAACTTTACACCTTCAACTTAAGTTTATTTAAAAAAAAAAATGAGTTTGATACATAAAAATAAATCTTCTGTAAATGTTTGAACTGAATTCGTAAAAAGCTCTGGTTAGGTTTTAAGTAATATTTTTTTTATTGCGCAGAAGTTTGAAATAAAGATTAGGTTTGCAAATTTTAAAATGCTGTAACTTTACCGGATCAGGGATACTGGGAACAGCATAATACGTTAATATGTTCAGTTTTAAAAGTCATGAACTTTACATATATTCCTCCTAGTTCGATTCCACAATATTCCATAGAAATCAGTTAAATAATATTCATTCATTCATTTTAATTAGACAACATGTGAATAAAATAAGTAACCTCTGCATATTTGTTTAATGAAACAAATAGTATTTATTTGAAAGAATCAGGAATACCGTGCTAGATTCTGTGACTATGTTTGAAATAAATTTAACCTTCAGGACTTTTTTAATAAATCTCCTAGAGAACTTAAAAGAGAAGATCACAGCAACATTTTATGGAGCAGCAGTGATGATGGCAGTGGATTGAACATATTTAGAGATTTTCAATTATAATCTTTTTTACAGGTTTATTTATTACTAAGTAACAAATACTTGGATTAGTAAATAATTACCAATTTATCAAACTAAAAAATAAACAATTTTTTTTTAATTTTCCTAATTTTAATTTTTTTGGTTTCCAGAGTTATATCTTTTAATTGTATTTAAAAACATTAGCTACATTAAACTGATCTTTTTTCATTAAAGTAAAGATAAATTTTATTTTTAAAAATATATACAATTAACTAAGTTAATTGAATATATTTAATTATTTTTTTAAAACATGAAATGTGATTTTTTAATTTACGTAAATTATTTTGTAAACTTTTAATGGGGCATAAAAACACAACAAAAACATTTCTGATATTAAATTTCGTTTTCTAATTAAGTAGACAAAATTTTCAACAAAAATAAGCAATTATTTCTCACTAAATTGCTCAAGCAGGCCATCGTGCTCCGGTCAATCCGAAGAATACGTCCATTAAACGGGGTTCTACTGTACGTCCTTTTGTAACTTAGTTATGAACAATACAACATGTTTTATGGATAGTCACACATGCGACGCTATAAACAAAACTTGATTTATTTTTATCAACAAATAAAACTAATAAAAATACTTTGTCAGACTTCAACCAAATCACTCATCGTTCGTGTGAAAGGTATTTAAAATTTCATATTATTTTTGTTGTTTTTTTAGTATTTTTCCATATTAAAACATTATTGCAATAATCCACAAGAACCATTATATTTTATTTGTTTCGGATAGTTTTGATTTGGTTTCAGTGAAATAAAATTATTGTTTGTATTATCCAATTAAGATTTATGATTCCTGCAAAGGAGAGGAATGAATTCTTCAATAAAGAAAAAGTAGATAGAATTAGATTCAACAGAAAAAAAAGTACATACTGACCATGGTCCAATCCACCGAAATTAAGGAAAGTTATGTTTTATGTTGATGTTTTTTTTAAGATCGTTGAGTTTTTGTTAAATAGCAAGCTACAGCTATGAAACTACGATTTAGTAAACAAACTATTTTTTTGATTTTTTCAAGTGCTAGGATGATTTATCTTTTTAAACCGTTTTAAGGGAGATTTTAAAAATTATTGATTATTCACTTGTACATACTGTACTTGGTCCAATGGAAATTGTGTTTTGTTTTGAGTTAGTCATGTTTTTTGTTGAACAGGAAGCGTTAACTAAAAAGCCTTTTAATTTAGATGACTATCGACTAGAATATAATAAACTAAACAAATATTCTTTTTAATAAAAGTAGGAATTGTCTTTTGTAAAATCATTTTTAACGGTTAAACTTCGCCAAATTCTGTTTTCATAAAATAATAGATTATCGAAGTTTTCGGAAACATTTCAATTAAAGGAATAGATCCCACGATTCCAACTAAATATTCCTATCTTCAGAATCTTAATTCCAATACGTATGTTTTCACGAAAATAATTCAAGCAATTGGATGGCTTATTTTTATTTTTTTTTTTTCAAGAATGTTACGGAATGAGGAATTATAAGGAAACGCCTTGAACCACTAACGGCTTCAGGATTTAATTGTTGAAGCTTCAGCCCGAAATCTTTTTAATATATATATATATGTATATATATATATAACGATTATTACTTTGGTTGGTGTTTCCATTTCCCCCTGTATATCCGCCTTTGCCCTAAACTACTATTCATGTTCATTTTGTTATGTGTCATGAACATTTTCGTGTTCCCTATTAAGACTAGTGCTGAAATGAGATTCCCTAATCCTGAGATTCCAAATGTTGCTTCTTTAGAAAGAAAAAAAAAATCTTTAAGAATTTCTTCATTTAATTTCCAAATACTTTAATGTAGCATTGCAATGCAGCATTTATTATCAAGAGGACATCGAATCCCATTCAAGGTAGCTTATTATTATTATGTAATATTTCTATAAAAATAAAACCCACCAATTATTTTCATCTAAACGTAAATACAAAAGTTAAAGTTAGAAGAAAGGAACATAAAACTAAACAATTATGTATTACAAACAAGGAAGAATTGCCATGATTGGCATCGTTGTAAAAAAACATTGGTTCACTATCACATGAAATAGTAATATTTAAACATTTACCTTTTTTTAACGCGGCAATTTTTTTATTTTATATTAATAAACAGTTTTTTTATTTGTGAGAAGTCTTTAGTAATTAATTTATTAAAATACATTTCAGGGTACAGAAAAATAAATAAAAGGCTGGTAAACATTTATTGCTACCATTTTGGCTGAACACCGTGAATTAGAGGATCGTAATATTTAGTTGTTCATCTAATACCATAGTATGGCAAATTATGTTATCATTCAATAAACTAAATCTAAAAAAATATGGATCAATTTCTATAATTGTGATCTTTCTAAAAAGAATTGTTTTCCTTTACTTCAAATCATAATGTTTAAAGATTTACTTAGGGATCACAAGAGAGACCCAGGCTCTTAAAGGACCGTAGCGCCAAGAATAAATAAATAAATAAAATAAGATAACATTAAAACCAAGGAAAAACTAAACTACAACTTTTATATATTTTTTATTGAGTATCTCCCGATTTTTATAGATGTTAATAAAACGATTAGTACTTAATAAAAAATATGATAATTTGAAAAATAAATAGAATTAATATTTGAATAAAAAAAAAAAACTTAATGTACTATATCTTTATTTTTACAGATTCATATGAAAGACATGACAGAGACCAGATCTCCATAATTTTTGGCAAGTTAGATGTAGAGAAAAAAGAATATTTAGGAAATACATGTTGACCTTCTTGTTATTTATGTTCATATCAATTTTCATTTATGTTTAAGAAAAGTTTTCTAAAACTTGTTTATTAAGTTTTTAATATTGCATCTAAGAATTATTTGACACACCAAGTTTTAAATTTATCCGACAATCTTCTTCTTTATTTTTTTATCGAGTTATAAACAGTATATTTGCTTTTAATCAATTATGTTTTTTTACTATAACATTGAACCAAATTTTGGGGCCTAAATAATATAGTTTATTGTATCCTACAGCGTTTATTAATGGAGTGGAAGAAAGGTCGGAAAAATTAAAATTGCTCCCTGGCAAATACTCTAGGTTCTGAGTATATGTATCATTATTAGTCAGTTTTTCATCGAAACCTAATCTAATAATGTATTATAATCTAATAAAGTAATGTATTATATTTTTTTACGAGTTAATACCACCCTTTTAATTTTCTAAAATTATAATGAGTCCAAAATATCGTGAATTGCGTACAGATATTTATTGACTCCGGTTTAAGACACTAATCGATGCTGGTTGTTGTAATTTAAAATTTACAAGACAGCAGTAATGTATCCATATTGAAGATGGATTGCTTACTATATCATAAGTAAGTAAGTAATAAGTAAATTTTATTATCAATCAAATTAAAGATATTTTTATAATTATGAATAAATAAAAAATACGTGTATAGAAAAAAACTTCTAAATGCTTGACTTAATAAAGGCATAATGTTTTGATTGCTTAGAAATAAATAGCTTTATCCACAAGTCGGTAAAAGGCTTGCAATATTTTATTGTACATTTAAATTATTGATAAAATAAAATATTTCTTCGATGTTTCAGTATTATTGTAAACAGTTTGAATTTACAATAAATTTCAAATAAAAACAGTTAATAAGTTGTAATTTCCAAAATTGTTGGCAGTTAATTGAAATAAGTTAACAAAATAGAACATGGTATTTTAAATTCATGATGATGTACATTGTAAAATTAATTACTAACACTTTACCCGTTACTGCAAACACGTTCAGAAAACTATAATCCAATTAACAGAATATTGCTAAAATCATTATAATTTCTAAATAATATTAACTTGTGATTACTATAAGTACTAACATGAGAATAATAATAATTCTACTAAGCGCATTGTGATCAGCATTAACTAGTCTTAAATAAATAAATTAAATTAATATGACTTAGTACAGATATACTCAATGATTACGATAGATGCCATTAAGGTTATAATATAATAGATAAATATGGTGAATTTATCAAATCAACGGTTAATACATCTTAGGCAGATGTGATTTATTTTATATGAGATCGGAAATTTTAATTTAATTTAAGTAAGATATTTTATTCTGTGTGAGCGAGGTTTGGTCTGAATGCAGGTCACGAGTTAAGCCGTGGAACAAACCCCGTGAAACAGTTACAGAACCTAACAAGATGATGATTAATAAATAAATCGCTTAATAATAAGTCAACGGGCTAAAAAATTTGGTGTGATTTTCTAAAATTTTATTTATTTAATAAAAACTTTTGAAATATAATCTATTTAAAAATAAATGTTTCAGTAATATAATATTAAGAAAAGTGCTGGTTATCCAAGAACATTAAAACGGATTCTGAACAGTCCCCTACGTTTATTGCAAAGTTTTCAATTATTTTAAAACCCAATTGCTTATCTTTGCCCAAACAACTGAGAAGCTTATTTTTTAAAAAATGTTTAATATGCTTTAATGTTGCAGGGTAACATAAAGAAAAAACACTGCTTCATACAATAAACGTTCATTTTACTGAAATTATTCATATAGGTAACTCTTCTTCACAAACGACTATAGTTGTTACATTCACTAGTTCAATAAAACCAAATATTTACAAATTAATATATAAAAAACAATATATACTTTATTCTTATATTTATATTATATGTATATATATATTTTATTTATATATTTATATATCTAAACATCGAAATGAAATTTACAAATTATACATGAGATATAATCTTTATGAGATTTAAGATACACTTTGAATTATTGTTATTTTCCCGAGGATAAGGGATTCACAGAGTACTCCAGCCATAATACAGTGGATCCCTATCCGCCGTTGTTCCAACATAATTAGGCTATTTACAACGGCAATTAAGTATCTAGTTTTTTTCAATTAATTCATTATCCAGTTAAGAGCAGTAATGGAATACGCTTGGCAGTAGGACAGAACATGCCCAGAGCCGCTATTTAGATATCTAACTTCCAAATCTGCAATTATAAACCTAGGAATAAACTTCCTAGAAAATGAAAATGAACAATCAATCAAAATTTATATGTGATAATATAACAGCGGTAAGAAATAAAACATTGCCGATATTGATTTAAATCCAAAATATATGTTTAAAAACCTCATAATTCGATATAAACTATTGTTTAATCTATATGTTATTTTATTATTTTAAAACTCATCTGTATTCTTTATAGAGACGTGCTCTGAAATATCTGAATGTGTGTCGTAGGCTAGGCTCTTCTACAAAGCTCAGGGTAACCCCAGATATCATTTACATGCACAATGGAACACATTTAAGATTATTACACTTCAAATTCATACAATCCCAAAAAGAGATTCAAGCAACAATTCACTTTGAGATTTTACAAAATAAAAATAATTAAATAATATATATAAAGATCATTGTTTCTTCTTATAAGGTGATATTATCTTATTTACACACAAATACAAACGCGTTCTCACAAATACACTGGATAGACACTCACATAGTCAAATCATATGCATGGATATGTTCATACATGATGATATATACATACATATGCAGTATCACGCATAGGATGACCAGTATAACAGTTTTGTTACATTCAGATTTACAGAAATCATAAAGAGAAAAATTAAAATCGGATTTAAAACAATTTCGATTCTTAGGTAATGAGCTAATGAAGGACATGGAGATGTAACAGAAGATGCTGGTCACCAGGCGCACTGCTGCGGAAAACTAAAAATTTATTATTATAAGGTCCCCGATCTAATGCTAGCATTAAAAATGTACACATAGTTCGTTTGGCCATAAGTGGCGGTGGCTATGTACAACTGTCCTTGCAATCTTCTTCGACCGGGGTATGTGGCCCCTCGCAAGCCTCCTATCTACAATAGCTACGGGTAAATCAATTGGACGGAATGACCAGTTTATTAGAGAGTCACAGATTCCGATTTATAGTGAGGACTTGGGGTATTCATTCTATTTTCCATTTCAACTATTTATAAAAATGTCATGTCTTATAGGCTTCTGACACACATCATGTTAAGTGACAAATGGATTCCATTTTTATCTACATATTTATTGAGAACAAAGAAAAGTATGTAAATATTTTAAAATCATCCAACAAGCGTGATTCATAGAAAACTATGATTCAAATATGATCAAAAATAGTTTTTCAACATACCAAGAATATCAAAATAAAATAATAAAAGTTAGCATTCGTGATACAAGTTTATCAGCTTTAATATTGCCTCTACAGGTCTGATCAATTACTACTGTCAAATGCTATTATTATGATATAAAATTAAATGATCAACTATCCGACATTTATCAATCAACATTGGCTTTAATTAATAAAAAGAAAGGAAAAACAGGATCAACTATAAATAAATAATTTATAAGGAACCCCTTAAAACAAGTCACATAATGTGTGAGAATGGAATTTGTAGTTGAAAATAGAAACCATAACCTAAACTGAAATAAAATATTCAGGCTATGCGAAATGAGTTAGCATCGCTAGAGTAGAACAAAGAGAATGAGCGAGGGGCCAATGACAAAACATGGATATCTTACCCTGTCAACGGGTATTGTCATAAAGCAGCAGCTCCTGGAGGGCTGTGGTACAGTGAGCTCTGGTAGTAGGTGGTGTCCGAGTATCCGTACTGCATGTCTGCGTACATCTTTATGTCGGTTTTACTTTCAGCCGGCAGGAGCCTTGTTATAGAAAAAGGGTGAGAGGAAGCTGGTGGGTACTCCTGCTTTAGGTGATGACCGTAATGGTCGAGGGTAGCGGTCAAATGGTGAGAGTGGCAACGATTGACCATTGCTGACAACTCCGCTTCTTGTTGCTGGAGGCAGATTTCCGATCCGCTACCGTGTAAGAGGCTTGCCATCGGATCTGCTTCCTTCATGAGTGGGCCTTGATTCCCGAGGCCGAGCTCAGTCTTGTCCAATTTGTCCTTTTTGTCTTCGTGCTGGTGTAAGTGATGATGATGATGATGTGGTGAAACACTCTTATGGGATTGTCGTGCCGCTTCTTTTTTGTCGTCTTTAAATCTCTTCTGTCGCCTGAGATAACAGCCGTTCTCAAACATATTACCTGATTCGGGATGCAGAGTCCAGAAAGATCCTTTCCCAGGTTTGTCGGGTGTCCGAGGTACCTTAACGAAACAGTCATTGAAGGATAACGAGTGCCTGATGGAATTCTGCCATCTCTGTTGGTTTTGTCTGTAGAAGGGAAAGAGATCCATGATAAATTGATAAATTTCCGACAGAGTGAGCATTTTCGAAGGTGAATTCTGTATAGCCATTGTTATGAGAGATATGTAGGAGTAAGGTGGTTTGGCGTGAGTGTAGGAGCGTCTGTATGACTTGTCCGCTCTGGCCCGTTGAAGTGCAGCGGAGTTGGGTGATCCTCCTTCGTTAGCCAGATCAACCCTTGGACCAGGCATGGTACCGACAGCGCCTAACCCACTGTTGTAGTTGATCGTGCCCATGCAACTACTATTCATATTAGTATAACCCATGCTACCGGAAGACATAGAATTACCGTTCATCTGCATAGAAGCCATCGCACCACCACCAGGAGCAAGCATGTTGGTTGGAAACCCTCCACTCTGCGGGGAACATGAGTTCATCGACACACAGGTCATCGAGTTCATACTATAGGTCGGTGTCATGGCTGGACTCATGTTGACGCCGGACATCGCGGAAGTCACCGGGTCTGGATACAGTTTCTGAGATAACATAGTCATAATCACTGAGGGAACACACTTTGCGGTTGCAATGCAACAGGTAGAGAGTCACTTATTGAAAAAACAAACACACGGCCGGATTCAGTCTCCTCGTGTTTGGCTAGGGGAACACAGTATTTAGGTTTCCATGATCGAACTGAAGTACCTCCCAAACTTTACCGACATGAAATAGCAAATGGAGGCTAAGTTAATAGAGGGGGGATAGGGGTCCCCCACTACGGAGAAAGGAACCAATGGTAGAGTAGTAGCCATGGCAACCGCTATGGCGGGGTGGGGCAGCCCCACCCTATGAGCCTCGGCAGCGCCATCCCCCGGTCGCCAGGCAAACTACCCCCAGTCCTTTAACACCCTCCACGCACCCTACTTCCTAACTACTTCTTTTTTACTAAAAATATCTCTCCTTTCACACAGGTATACTTTTAATTAATACTTTTACATATAAAATTTTACATGTGTCAATATTATTTACGGAAAGATATTATTATGGTATGAATGTGTTGAGTGAAGCTGATAAGTGTTATTACTAATTTTAACGACTTAACCAATCTATGATATGTTCCAATTTTATGAAATCAATCGCAACTGCTTTTCGAACTAATTTGTAATCGGGTTTGTGACCTACGGCTGATACAACTAATATGTAACTGATCACTATTTGTATTTTATTCTGTTCATTTTTCAATCTAAAATTGAATTATTTAGTTCAATAATGTAAGTTTTATAATCTTAGAAAAATGGAGATAAAATAGAATAATCAGAGTTTTATCTCAAACCAAGATAAGAACTATGGTCCTACCAGCCACATAAATTAGGAAACTTCTCGAGTATGTGGTAGGTTGATGGATACTTGTCCAAAGTTGATATATTTTAATTTGCTATGAATTAGAACAATATTTTCTTGATATAAATATTTATTGGGGAAAGTAGGGTAATTTCAAAACTGACTTTCACTTTTTGAACAATATGAAAAGCTGTTACAATAGGAAAAACAGTTGTTTTTAATGGAAAATAAAATATCTTTTGAAATAACAATTCTTTTGAATGTAAAGTTTCTAATAATTAGATACTACATTAATTCTTAATTTACAATGCCTTATTATAACACTCCTTTTATCAAAGTAAGTATAATATATCGCAGATAAGCAAACATAAGTACTTTATTATGTCTATTGGTAATTAATTATGTTCTATATAAAATGTCATATACTAAATAAAAGCTCTGTATTTCATTATATATAAATCCATGTCTTTCTTTGCAAATATATAAAGTGTTCCTTTTTCCACATTATTAAATGTAAAACTGAAATTTTCAAAAACTATAAATAAATTATATAAACTTATTAGACGCCGGTTCTAATCACTATAAAATTTGTTTTTATTTAGTAAATGACGAATAAATGTTTATGTCAATTAACAGTATGTTCATAAATTTAACTCACTTTTTTTTTAATCTTCGGCTAAACACGGCACCTATATATATTATATAAGTCATATTAACTATTAAACTACTAAACAAGCGCACAAAGATTAATTTAGCGTAATGCTTTGCATTTGAAAGGTTGTGTATTTTTAAAAGAAAAAATAATTGAAAAAGTTAATTTAAGCACTAAGCATTATATCATAGTATTAAATTATTGTTTATTTTACTATTAATTTACGTTAAATGTTCAAATTGTATAAACTTTTGTTAGATATACGTAGTAAAATAACTAATTGTAACGTATTAATTTTTCTTTTTCTCCCAACCCAAAACATCCTTCGAAGTACTATACTGCAATGTATTGATAATTCATACTATTTATAGTGAAAAATCATTAATAACACAATAGATATAAACCTTAGGTATGTAAATTATATGACGCTATGATGTCTTTCTACTCTTGTGCTGTTGTTTCCAATTCTCTAAACGTTCGCCTAAAAATTTATTTTCTCTTGTCAACCCACTAGTCCGTAATTTTTAGTCACTTGCCAAATACAGCTCTGTAAACTTCGGTAAACTTTTGCTATAAATGAACAAAGCTTATTGCCTTTTTACTTATACATTATTATACATTACTTATACAAAACATAAGTAGTAATCAAAGGTTTAAATAAAAAGCTAAACCCAGTAAATAAAGAGTAATAATTTATTTACATACCAATGCTGTTTACGTACTTCAGGTTGCCACAAAATAAAGCACACCAATCTGTCCAATTGGATAACTTGGTATAAATATTCCGGCTGATGGCTAGTAATTTATCATCAGCCGTGTACCGACCCTGGGGTCGGGAGACCCTCCTGGGGCAGACAGAGCCTCTATAAAGTGGATACTCTTAATTAAATAAGGAAACACCTAGCAGTTGAGCGTGATCTCGGCCCAATTATCTCCATGCTCAACACACTCCCTGCCTTGTAACAGCACATCCTCACATAGCATAGAACCTCAGACCTTTCATGGGTTGTAGTGGTACAGTTTTTTTTTTAGGCATTAATATACTAAATTGTCAGTATTAATACATATACACATCTCTAAAACTTATTTTTAATTAAATAATACATTATAGTGATGTATTACTATTATTATTATTCATATAAATTATTTATATGAAAAGAGGTAACAAAATAAATATTTTTTTTAACGAGATTATTCTAACCAACAGTTCACATTAATTAATTTCAACATATTCTCTAATGATTATCTTAATAGCCCAAAGTGCTATTACTGTTATGCCCGGCATATCCTTCCTTTACATAAAGGGATAAAATTAGATAAAATCACTTTGTTGATCTTCGGCTCCCTGAACCACACTTCTCCCTCCCTGCCAATTTTCGACTAATGTTTTCCAGTACTGGTCTCCAGCAGCATCTTTGTCGATTCTATTTTGGTTTGTGGCCTCCTTACACGTTGTCTTTCGCCAACTATTGAGGCATTTATTGTTGTGTAGGCTTCCTCATGGATTTCTCCGAGCTGCGAGGAGGTCAAGATGGGTGGGTACCCATCTTGACCTCCTTGACTTCATATCGTGGGCTATTGATTGACCAATTTCTTTAAACAGTTCTATATTTGTTCTTCTCTTCCATGCGTTACTACTCTTATCCCATGTCGATACCGAAAGATTCCCAAGAAAAAATAATAAATAAATAATAATAATAATAGATATCGCTGAACCGAATGATGGGAACACCAACTCAGTCTGCGCCGAAAAAATACGGAAATATAAAACTCTTGCAGCCGAGTTAAAAGATCTCTACAGACTGAACAAAGTGACAGTAAGGGCTTTAGTGATCTCTAGCAATCGGCTGATTCCAAAATCCACTGTAGAAGTTACCGAGAAGTTGGTGCTATCAACAGCTACGATAAACGAAGCCCAGAAAGCTGTGCTGCTGAACACCGCGAGAATAGTAAGAAGCTTCTTTAATATCCAATAAAACTACAAAAATTAACGTGAAGTGGTTGAAGTTAATTCTTCCCCACTCCAGGAAAATACCTTTTTTTTTTGAAGTGATAAAAATAAATATAATATTATAATAATAACAGATATGTATTTACAATTTGAATATTTGTTTTTGTTTAAAGTACTAATTTCAAATCATACAAACCTGTGCAATAAATAAATATTTTCATTTTCTATAAGTTTAATTAGTTTACTCTTGTAATAATAACACGAATAAATAATATTTTTATTTTTTTTTTCCCATGCCACCAGGGCAATACGGGTGTATGCAGTAGTGTGATGTTATGCATTAATGCATAATAACACACTACTGCCATAATATCAGTTAACATAATTCAAAGCTGTGCACACAGCTAGCTCTTCTAATTTTCCTCCTTCTACAACAAATTAGCCCTAGTTTCCCGAATCCGAAGGTCTTCCTGGGACTGGTCCTCTTCTCCTTCTGCGTGCATCTAGGTTGAAGTGAGCTGGACCCACCATAGTGGTGTGGCTATTAAACTATATTAGCCAATAATAATTATAAATAGCCAGTCTGCTGGAGAAGTTGAGTCTTGTGAAAGGGTTCTTATTTCTAAAAGCGTTATTTCTTGGGTACGAAAGAGGAATTTGGCAAAACAGCCTGATAGAGGAGTTGGATGTATAGTCTGGTGGAAGAGTAACAGAGATTCATGAAGCCCTGAGATGCAATAAAAGGCAAAGAAAGTTGCCGTGGAGTCACCACATTTCTTATCATCACCCACTGAAGCCTGACAGAGTGAGAGAGGGGGGCGGTAGCCCTGGATTCAGCAACTATATGTATGTTATATATGTATTGGCAATTCATGAGTCTTGTGAAAGAGTTCTTATTTCTAAAAGCGTTATTTCTTGGGTACGAAAGAGGAATCTGGCAAAGCAGCCTGATAGAGGAGTTGGATGTATAGTCTGGTGGAAGAGTAACAGAGATTCATGAAGCCCTGAGATGCAATAAAAGGCAAAGAAAGTTGCCGTGGAGTCACCACATTTCTTATCATCACCCACTGAGGCCTGACAGAGTGAGAGAGGGGGGCGGTAGCCCTGGGGTCAGCAACTATATGTATGTTATATATGTATTGGCAATTCATTCCGATTGTAACGTATTTAATCATTACCTATATCAACATTCTCAATACTGTCTCACAGATTCTATTCATAAATTTCTAGGCGTTTGAGGAGGATTTTCTCAAAGATTTTTGAGAGGATAGGGAGTAAGCTTATCGGTCTGTAGGATGATGTGTTATTAACGGGTTTGCCTGGTTTTGGAAACAGCACGATTATGGAGTGTTTCCATATCAAGGGAAAGTTGGTAGTACGAAGGATGCAATTATATAGATAGGTCAGGAATATAATTGATTTTTTGGGAAGTTGTCTAAGGATTTGTGAAGTGAGATCATATCCATGGGATTTTCGGGGTTTTAATTTGTTTATGAGGAATTTGACCTCAGAGGGGTTAACAGGTTTTGGAGGTAGAGAGAGAGGAATTGGTGAAGAGAGGAATTCTTTAACTTCAGCAATGTGGGTGGGATGGAGTTCGGGATGGGGACTGAATGTGTAGGATAGATGTTTAGCAAACTCTTCAGCTCTATTCGCATCTGACGAAGCCCAGGAACCATCATCACGGCGGAGGGGGTGGGAAATGGATTGGAATTTAAGGATTTTTTTAGTTACAGTCCAGAGGGAGTTATCACTAGATGATATTGAGGAAAGGTAGGAA